GCTGGGTTTTGTTTTTTGCTGGTGTGTTCCATTTTTTTCATAGGGTGCTGGCAGATTACGGGCCTCCCATTGCTGCTGCCAGGCCCGTAATCTGCCATGGGCCCCTGTACCGCACTCCTCATGCTGTGACGTTTGCAACAAGGTGGAATTCAACCCTACATATGTTAGACCGCCTTTACGAACATATGCGAAAGGCCATCACCGATTTTTTTGATGTTACAAGCGGATAAAGGTACTCCCCTGTGTAACTTAGATGTCAGCCATTGGCAGCTCATCTACGCTCTGACACCTGCCGCTTGCTCAGGCCCTTTGATGGAGGCCACGCTATTCGTGAGTCGGCAGGGACTATGGGATGAACGACGTCATTCCTCTGTTGCACGGCCTGGAACAAATGCTGTTAACAAGGCTGGTCAGGGTGCGGTTTGACGTGGCGCACAGATCTCTAACGCCACATGACCCCTGTGGAGGCAGGACAGGAAGAAGAGGAGGAGGTAGAGGAGGGACAAATTGGTGCTCAGGAATTATTGAGTGAAATGGGTGGTTTTTCCACTCAGCGGACAGGAGTGGAGGAGCAGGAGCATCTGGTAGAGGAGGAGGAGGAGGAGACAGAGGACCCAGACGCACCGTGGCAGTATGCTGTGGAGATAGAGGCAGGGAGTCCCTCGCATTCCTTGGCACAAATGGCCCATAGCATGCTCGGTTGCTTGCTTGTAGCGACAGCCCGAATAATAACCATCAGACAGAGGGATGACTTTTGGCTGTCCACCTTGTTGGACCCTCGCTACCGTTCAAAAATGGTGGGCTTTTTCACACCTGCTGAGAGGGAGGCCAAAATAAATCACTATAAAAACCACCTATGTAGTCAGTTGGTCTCTGCCTTTCTGCGCCAACGTCCATCCTCAGACACTGTGGGCCCTGTGCGCTCGCGTTCCGCTGCCATGGCAGCAGGGAGGGGTGGGGTGGTAGGAGCAGTGGCAGCTCCACCAGCAGCGGCTGCCTCAGTCTGCAGTCGATGATGAGTAGCTTTCTTCACCAGCGCAGTGAGGAAACTACTAACCAGCCGCAGCAGCAGCAGCAGCATCAGGTGGACCTGGAGCAGGACCTCAAACAACAGGCTTGGGCCTACTTGGACAGCACCCTGCCAACCGAGGTAGACAATCCCCTTGACTACTGGGCAACGAAAACTTGATCTTTGGCCCCAACTAGCTGAATTTTGCCCTTGAAAGGCTGTCATGCCCGGCCAGTAGCGTGGCATCGGAGCGCGTGTTTAGTGCGGCAGGAGGTATTGTAACTCCGCGGAGGACACGACTGTCCACCCAAAGTGTGGAGAGACTCACGTTTGTGAAAATGAATCAGGCGTGGATTAGTCTGGATTTCAAACCACCAGTTCCTGACACAACTGACTAAATCCGCCATGAATCATGCCCCCAAACATGTGCCACTTTCAGGTCTCCTCACACTGCTGGGTGGGTTCCATTTTGTCATAGGGTGCTGGCAGATTACGGGCCTCCCATTGCTGCTGCCAGGCCCGTAATCTGCCATGGGCCCCTGTACCGCCTCCTCATGCTGCTGCCAGGCCCGTAATCTGTCATGGGTCCCTTTACGGCCTCCCATTGCTGCTGTCTCCATCGCCACACTCTGCCATGTGCCACTTTCAGGTCTCCTCACACTGCTGGTGTGTTCCATTTTGTCATAGGGTGCTGGCAGATTACGGGCCTCCCATTGCTGCTGCCAGGCCTGTAATCTGCCATGGGCCCCTGGTACCGCTCTCCTCATGCTGCTGCCAGGTCCAGAGTGTGTCATGGGTCCCTGTACGGCCTCCCATTGCTGCTGTCTCCATCGCCACACTCTGCCATGTGCCACTTTCAGGTCTCCTCACACTGCTGGTGCTGTCCATTTTGTCATAGGGTGCTGGCAGATTACGGACCTCCAATTGCTGCTGCCAGGCCCATAATCTGCCATGGGCCCCCGTACCGCCCTCCTCATGCTGCTGCCAGGTCCAGAGTCTCTCATGGGTCCCTGTATGGCCTCCCATTGCTGCTGTCTCCATCGCCACACTCTGCCATGTGCCACTTTCAGGTCTCCTCACACTGCTGGGTGTGTTCCATTTTTTCATAGGGTGCTGGCAGATTACGGGCCTCCCATTGCTGCTGCCAGGCCCGTAATCTGCCATGGGCCCCTGTACCGACTCCTCATGCTGTGACGTTGCAACAAGGTGGAATTCAACCCTACATATGTTTAGACCGCCTTTACGAACAGCGAAAGGCCATCACCGATTTTTTGATGTTACAAGCGGATAAAGGTACTCCCCTGTGTAACTTAGATGTCCAGCCATTGGCAGCTCATGCGTGACACCTGCCGCTTGCTCAGGCCCTTTGAGGAGGCCACGCTATTCGTGAGTCAGCAGGACTATGGGATGAACGACGTCATTCCTCTGTTGCACGTCCTGGAACAAATGCTGTTAACAATGGCTGGTCAGGGTGCGGTAGACGTGGCGCACAGATCTCAACGCCACATGACCCCTGTGGAGGCAGGACAGGAAGAAGAGGAGGAGGTAGAGGAGGACATTGGTGCTCAGGAATTATTGAGTGAAATGGGGTGGTTTTTCCACTCAGCGGACAGGAGTGGAGGAGCAGGAGCATCTGGTAGAGGAGGAGGAGGAGGAGACAGAGGACCCAGACGCACCGTGGCAGTATGCTGTGGAGATAGGAGGCAGGGAGTCCCTCGCATTCCTTGGCACAAATGGCCCATAGCATGCTCGGGTTGCTTGCGTAGCGACAGCCGAATAATAACCATCAGACAGAGGGATGACTTTTGGCTGTCCACCTTGTTGGACCCTCGCTACCGTTCAAAAATGGTGGGCTTTTTCACACCTGCTGAGAGGGAGGCCAAAATAAATCACTATAAAAACCACCTATGTAGTCAGTTGGTCTCTGCCTTTCTGCGCCAACGTCCATCCTCAGACACTGTGGGCCCTGTGCGCTCGCGTTCCGCTGCCATGGCAGCAGGGGAGGGGGTGGGGTGGTAGGAGCAGTGGCAGCTCCACCAGCAGCGGCTGCCTCAGTCTGCAGTCGATGATGAGTAGCTTTCTTCACCAGCGCAGTGAGGAAACTACTAACCAGCCGCTAGCAGCAGCAGCAGCATCAGGTGGACCTGGAGCAGGACCTCAAACAACAGGCTTGGGCCTACTTGGACAGCACCCTGCCAACCGAGGTAGACAATCCCCTTGACTACTGGGCAACGAAACTTGACCTTTGGCCCCAACTAGCTGAATTTGCCCTTGAAAGGCTGTCATGCCCGGCCAGTAGCGTGGCATCGGAGCGCGTGTTTAGTGCGGCAGGATCTGGTATTGTAACTCCGCGGAGGACACGACTGTCCACCCAAAGTGTGGAGAGACTCACGTTTGTGAAAATGAATCAGGCGTGGATTAGTCTGGATTTCAAACCACCAGTTCCTGACACAACTGACTAAATCCGCCATGAATCATGCCCCAAACATGTGCCACTTTCAGGTCTCCTCACACTGCTGGTGGGTTCCATTTTGTCATAGGGTGCTGGCAGATTACGGGCCTCCCATTGCTGCTGCCAGGCCCGTAATCTGCCATGGGCCCCTGTACCGCCTCCTCATTGCTGCTGCCAGGCCGTAATCTGTCATGGGTCCCTTTACGGCCTCCCATTGCTGCTGTCTCCATCGCCCACACTCTGCCATGTGCCACTTTCAGGTCTCCTCACACTGCTGGTGTGTTCCATTTTGTCATAGGGTGCTGGCAGATTACGGGCCTCCCATTGCTGCTGCCAGGCCTGTAATCTGCCATGGGCCCCTGTACCGCCTCCTCATGCTGCTGCCAGGTCCAGAGTGTGTCATGGGTCCCTGTACGGCCTCCCATTGCTGCTGTCTCCATCGCCACACTCTGCCATGTGCCACTTTCAGGTCTCCTCACACTGCTGGTGGGTTCCTTTTCTGTCATAGGGTGCTGTATGGCCTCCCATTGCTGCTGCCTCCACCGCCACACTGTGGCTCCACACTCTGGTTTTGGCCCCGTGACTGCCCAAATGAGTGAAGTGTGCGGTGATTCTAAGATCGACGGCACTCATCTGCATGTCATACTGACTGACAGTATTATTTCTCTTCCCCAGCAGACTCCAAGGGCATTTAAATTAAAGGTACAGTGTTCTGCACTAATATAAAGGCTCTCTGAAGCCTAGAAACACCCTTTTATAAGTTAAATTTCGCAGCGAATATATTCGCCTCGAATCAAATTTATTCCTCAAATTCGCCGAATCAGCCGAATCGAATTTTTGAATACTTCGCTCATCTCTAGTCATTACATTGTCTAGCTGAATGGCTCGTCTGACCACACCTGAAGCACTTTCTAGAGTCTCTCCCTCTGTGTTTTGTAATGCAACGGGCTTGTTAATGGAAGACTTGGACCAAGTGAATTCAGGTTGATCAGTTTGAACAGGACGAGAAGGGAGGTCCTCTTTAAAAGGTTGTTTCACTTTCTTAGGGGTGCTAAACTGAATGTCAGCTTCCCATTTCTTCACTAACTTCATTAGTCCATGAAGAGGAAGATCATCATCAGATAACTTCACTTTGAGGAGCTGTGCGAGAGGATGATGAGGTAACAACCCCCGTACTAATTGACTAGTTCTCATTGAATTCACTGCATCAGGATGTATAGCAGTGTGATACACCAAACGTGACAACAGTAACTGCACTTTTCGATTAATAAAAGTGGAAACACTCTCTCCTTCTTTCTGAGGGTCATACGATAGTCAGCAACCATCTGTTCAAGGTCATAGTATGGTTCAAAATGGTCAGACAGTACTTGTATATAGTCTGTTGCAATCTTACCCCCCTCATGGGTATCTCGATACAAGCGGATTAGTTCTGCTGCTGGAGATCGCAGACTTTCCATAACACGCTGACGCTTGCCTTCCTCTGAGCAGGACCATTCTTTCAAGCATTGAAGGGTGTGCTCTTTCCAAACTTCGAAAGCTTCTTCCTCCTTGTGGTACAGGAACATTACCAGAGAACACTTTTAGCTTTCTATAATGTGCCGCCTGTAACCCTTGTGCTAGCATCTCAGTCAGTTGATTTAAAGTGCCAACAAGCATTCTCACTAGATTGTGGAATATGGACATCTTCCTGATAAGAATAGTTAACTGGCATTTGTTCTTCTTTTACACTGACGTTTTGTGGGACAGAGGGAAGGTACCTCCTTCTAGGAGTAGGTTGAGGGCGCCACTTTTCTTCGTGTTGCTCCTCCATGACTGACTATTAAACCCACTTCGCTCTTAGCAGTGCCTCCAAATGTAGCCCTGTTTTGGGGGGGGTTTTGTGAAATGGCCCACACCCAAACAAGCTATGGCGCTAACCTGTATATGAGTAGGCAATCCTGAGCCTTCGCTATATGGAAGAGGGGGTTGTGATAATACAAATGGCAGTGCCTCCACCTAGAATAGGGATCCTGCAATTGAGGAGACTCACCCCTTTCTAGGAATGTAACAGGTAGACAACTTAAAGTAACTATACATAGCAGTATTAATGCACCCAGCTTATATTTCTAACATGATAAACATGTCACCACACCTGTATGAGATTAATGCAAAGTTTATATAAAGCAGCCACATAAAACAGGATGCATAAGAATAACATTCAGGAATTACAATTTAGCATAAATTGGGAGGTTGCAATTATTCCCGGGTATATGTGCATGTAGTATACAGAATACCTCCAACCGTGGGTTATAGCGCTGTCCGGTTGCAGGGGCCCCTGGAGAGGTGAGAGTCAATAAGATGCACGCTTCCACTTTAGATGCTGTGATGGCGTCCAAGTAACATGCGGATGATTGCACGGCTTGTCTGAAGATCAGCGATGCATCACCTAAAAGGATAAAATGCTCTATCTATCCTTACTCTTAGTCCCTATCCCTAAACTGGGCTGTCACTGCAACCGGGCCTCTATCTGTCTAAGTGGACGTCGGATGCCTAACCTACCTCTAGCCTAATCTATCCAACGCTCCCTATGCTAATCCTAGCTAAAGAGAGATCCAGACCAATAAGGCTCTTCAAGCAAAGAGGCTGCAAAGATACACTGCAATTAATAGAAAGTTCACCTGACAGTCTTATGCAGGTGAAAACACTGATCTATATATATATATAGACAACTATAAGGATTCTGCAGTGTATAAATAGAATAATGATAATGAACCACAAATCTCTCTTTTACAGAGTTATTAGGGTTCCTATACAGAAGTTGAAATATAACAGAGGCAGACCTAATCTGCTTCAGTAACAACTACATAGATAACAGCCTTGTTAATCTGGATCATTACTCACAGAATTCCCATACAGTTCTCCCCAGATACATAGCACATGGCAGGCTGGAACCCTCTGCCTGATACTTCCTGGAAAACAACTATATAACATCCTGGGGTTTCCTGACCTCCTTGTAGGGGCAGGAAGCACACCCAGGGACTTGTCTGTAATGGGACCTCTATGGTAGTGGCTGTATATGGATGTAAACAAACCACAACTAGTGTATAAAATAACAGTTCCCTACACTTGTTCAAACATTTTATTGACAATGCAACAAAGGGAGAGAGACATTACCAGTATACATTGAACATTACATTGACAACAAAACACAGGGAATAAAAGGCACAGTGTCATGTCTTTATGATGAGGGTGAAAGAAAGAATCAAGAAAACAATGCAGCATTTCTTGCGGTATTAAATGAATAAAGATTGTTAGCGAAGGTGATAGAATATCGGTAAATTTGACCAGTAAGGGTAATGACTCTCTAAAGCTATGTGAAGAGTTAAGGATAGTCAAAGGAGGGCCAAGGGTAAGAGGGGGGGGGGGGATGAAGAGTGGCAGGAATGACTCCACCATTGGTAGGGAAGGGTGTGGTAATACGTGTGTATTGTATGAGGTGGTTCCAGAGTAGTGCCCTAAAGTTTATAGTTTACATATTAAGGGAGAAGGAGTGATTCATCAAAAATTTGGCAGGAAGAAACACTCTACCCAGGGGTTCCAAACATTCAAGAATTTAGGGATTGTATCTAGAATTGTTGCTTCCACTTTTGCATGTATCATGGCTTGTGTTACTCTGGTTTTAACAGCAGCAATGCTTAGAGAGGGGGATTTCCAGGATTTTGCAATGACCTGCTTGGCTGCCATAGTGACTTGACGGATGAGTTTGAATTGCAAATTGGTTACATCAGGAGGGCGTAGGTTGAGTAGAGCTGTTGTCGGATTGGGTTGGAGCGTGATTGCACTAAGTTTGGATAGCATGTTAAAAATATCAGCCCAGAAGGGTTTGAGCTACTGGGCAGTTCCACCATACATGGCAATGTGTTCCTGGGTCAGCACAGCCTCTAAAGCAATTGGGGAGTAATTAGGGATGTATTTTGCTATTCTCGCTGGGACCAAATACCAACAAGTTAAAGCTTTATAGCTGGTTTCTAAGGCTATAATGTTCTGCAAGGATGATTTTGTGTTGGCCCAGATGTGGTCCCAATTAGATGGGTCTAATTGCCTATCTAGGTCTGTTTCCCATCTGCGGGTATATGAAGGGAGGGATGTGGTGGCCGAAGTTGTGAGAAGGGAGTATAGGCATGAGATGAGGCCGCATCTGTGAGGATCTTAATGCAATACACTTTTTATTTAGACAAGGAGAGTGTAAACTGAATTTTCCTCAACCATTACTGCAAAGCTTGGTCAGATCTATTGCACTCCATCTTAGTCAGCTGTCACCAACCCACTCGTGCTTCGGGGCAAACCAGTTTTCTCAAGTATCTCCCTCTCTGTCACCCATAGCAACCACAGCTGCAGTTCATTATACCTTGCTTTCAACCATATGTCAGTACCCTGTCTCCACTAGCTGCACTTTTCCTGCCTTTAACACACTGAAGATTTCCCCTTCTACTTTTTTCCCTTGGTAATCCCTCAAGAACCCTATTCAGCAACTACTCCCTCTTTTAATCATCTCTCAGTTCATCCAACATTACTAATCCTATGGCCTAAGGCCCAGCCGATGGTCCCTGTGGCCTGAAGCCCACAGCCTGATGGTCCTGTAGCTTGAGAGCCCCTCAGCCTGATGGTCCATGTGCCAGACAGCCCAGCCTGAATGGTCCTTGCCTGAAGGCCCATCCTGGTGTTGTCCAGTCCCTGATACCCAGCCTGATGCAAAGAGTAAGCAAGAAGAGATGACTCTCACAACAACAACAACAAAACAAAAACAAAACGGGCGCTGGAACAACAACCGGGAGAACAACACACCAGCGTACAAACGTAACAAAACGGGGGGGGGAGGAGGAGGAAAGAGAGAGAATCATCTCTTCCTTCTTACATTGCATCAGTCTGGGTACAGGGACAGGACCACCCAGGCTGGGCTCAAGGCACAGGACCATCAGGCGGGCTTCAGGCACAGGACCAACAGCTTGGGCTTCAAGGCACAGGACCCCAATCAGGCTGGGCTTCAAAGGCACAGGACCATCAGGCTGTGCCTTGCAGGCATAGGATTAGTAAAATGTTGGATGAACTGAGAGATGATTTAAAGAAGGGAGTAAGTTTGCTGAATAGGTTCTTGAGGGATGTACCAAGGGAAAAAAAGTAGAAGGGGAAAGCTTCAGTGTGTTTTAAGGCAGGAAAAGTGCAGCTAGTGAGACAGGGTACTGGACATATGGTGGAAAGCAAGGTATAATGAACTGCAGCTGTGGTTGGCTAAGAGGAGACACGAGCGGGAGATAACTTGAGATAAAACGTGGTGCCGACCGAAGCTCGAGTGTGGTTGGTGTGACAGCTGACTAAGGATGGAGGTGCAAAATAGATCTGAACCAAGCTTGCAGGTAATGGTTGAGGAAAATTCAGTTTACCACATCTCCTTGTTCTAAATAAAAAAGTGTGATTTTGCACTTAAGAGCCTCACAGAGGCTGGCCTCATCCTCATGCCTATACT